GTGCTTTATGAGTTGTTTCTCGTGAAGTGTTTCCCTTTTTGTAGCTATCTACGAGATGGAAAGTTTATGGGCGGGGCTGCTGTTTCGTTGGGATGGAGAATGGAAATCATCTGGCCCGAGCGCTGCCTGATTGCTAATTAATGTGCTGCGTGGCAAGAGAAAGTGGAAAAACCTCCAAAAACCAGAGGGAAGACATGGTAATACAGGTCCCACGATTTTGATTCCTCATTTTATGCTTTCCTAAAGCACGGTGAGCTCAACTGTCATTCAAATTCAGCAAAGCCATTCTGCATTCAATTAATTTAATATGAGAGATATAGTAGGCCATTAATCTACTGGGAGCAGCAGTTTTTGATAAAAAAACCTAAATTAAATTCTTCAAGTTAGAAAAAAAAGGGGCATTGTTCCCTTTCGTATCACTTGAATACAGACTTAGTTATTCAATTCAAACAGCAGAGCAGGCTCTGGCTTCTGAGAAGCAGAAATTCATTTAATTATTTCTCAACTGTGAACTTGTTGGAGTGGGGAGTTCAGTAACATCTAGTTGCTCAGAGACTTAGAGATGAGCCAGGATGATTTGGTTAGTGATATTATTTACAAAAATCAGCACTGTATTATTGTGTGCTTTTAAAAAATATATTTTTATTGATTTTAGGGAGGAAGGGAGAGGGAGAGAGAGATAGAAACATCAGTGATGAGAGAGAATCATTGATCAGCTGCTTCCTGTACGTTCCCCACTGGGGACTGAACCTGCAACCTGGAATCAAACCATGTCCTCTGGGTTCATAGGTCAATGCTCAACCACGGAACCACGCACTGTATTGTTAACCCCTTCCCTTCCTCCTTTAACTGTGTGGTTCTGGCTGTGGCTCCTCACCTACAGCTGCACTCCAGTCACCTCACCCCCGCTGGCATCGTAAGAGCTGAGTGAGGACACGTGCCCAGGCCCAGCACCGAGGCCAGTGAGATGGGCTCCACTCTTTTCCCTCCTAGAAAGGAGTGTGCTGTGGAATTTTGGGTTAAACGTCAGTGATTCTAACATGCCATTTGCTGAGACAGGGGACTGTGGAGATGCTGTGTGGTCTGGAGATGGGTGGGGGCAGAGCAGAATTCGGGGCTGGAGGGAAAGCTGAAGGATTCCACAGGAGAAGGGCCTTTTCTATCCACCGACAGGATGGGCGATTGTGCCCTTTCTCCTTCGACACAAACCATGCAAACTGCTCCTAAACTTGATGCCACAAAGTAGCCCCTCAGTACACTGGGCTGGATAAATGTGCACGCCCTGCCCGAATGTGTCATTAAAAGCGTGGGACACCCTGCCTCTCGCAATGATGAGCCTGGTTGTGTCTCTGAGCTCTGTGACTGCTCACAGAGACGCTGGCGAGAGGAAACCCACTCCGTCGTCTCCTCCGTGTTGGGGAACCGAGCAGGAGCTGTGGGCAGATGAGAACACGAGTCCGGGACCGCCGGGCAGTTTGGGCAGCCCTTGGATGAAGGGTGCTGAGACCTAGCGGCGTGCACACTTGTCCTAGGCTAGACAGTTAGGAGCCATGCCAGGCACAATGCTCCCCTCCCCCGCCCCCGCCCGCCTCCGCCCTCCCCGCCAGCCAGAGGCGGCTGAAATTCCCAGGTCTGATATGGGTGAGGGTGACCCCAAACACTGTGAGATTTGGGTTTTCTTACTGAGCAGGAGGGTCCAGCCTGCAATCGTGGAGAGCCAGGTCCCAGTTCTGAGGACGTGCCCTTAGGCCAGACAGGCGTGGGTGCATCCCTGACCGGAGGGCAGAGCTGGAAGGGACCCCTCCTTCTCGCCTGCGGGACAGGCCTGTGGGAGTCCTCGGGCCGGGTGAGGGCTGTGGGAGGAGGCAGATGGCTTGGTGTGAGCCCTCATGGCCGCAGTGGGTCCTCGGGGCATGAAGACAGCCCAATCATGGCTGGCTCGGGGCAGACGCTGCCGTGGCTGCTCCCAGGGTGGCTCCTACTGCTAGTTTGCTGTTTTCGCTGGGTTAGACGAAAAAGCACTCCACGCATTCTGGCTTCTCACAGCAGATTCATGGGATACAGGCCAAATCCTTCCCTGATCCTGAGAAGGAACTAAAAGCAACCTTTTAAGGTTTTGAGTATAATTTAAGGGAAGCTAGTCACAAATGGTCACAGGACAGATTCCACCTGATGGACGGGCAAGGGTGCCCCCTCCTGGATGGGCCAAGACTGTTCATGGCTGTGTTGTGGACTTCGCAATGCCAGGGCTAATGAAAATAAAAATTTTAGTTAACTTACCATGGTGCTTACTGATTCAAAGTGGCTTATGTTATTAGCTTTCCTTACCCTCATAACAACTTTATGAAATAGTGACTGTTATCATCTCCATTTTCCTCATGGGGAAATAGTGGCCCAGGGGATTAAGTGACTCATTCAGTGTCACGCAGCTGATAAATGGTGTTGGGATCTGCACCTGGGCACCTGGCCCCACACCTTGGGAGACTTGGGCTCAGATGCCTGATTTAATAAGACGTTGCTTTTCCGAAGCATTTCGTAGTGTTTCTGTGAGTTTCATTTAATCTTTATAACAACTCAATGAGGCAGACATCCATGTCATTCTCATTTGACAGAGGGGCAAGCTGAGGCCTGGAGACTGTCTTAGGGAAGCTGTGGAGTGTTGGTGAGGACGAGGAGGAAAGGGAACCCTTGTGCACTGCTGGCGGGAATGCAAATTGGTTCAACCACTATAGCAAGCAGTATGGAGGTTCTTCAAAATAAAGTTAAAACTACTATATGGCCCAGCAATGTTCTGGGTATATAACCAAAGGAAATGAAAACAGGATATTTAAAAGATATCTGCACCCACATGTTCATTGAACATTATTCACAATAGCCAAGATAGGAAAACAACCCCAGTATCCAACAGTGGATGAATAGAGAAAGATGTGGAAGACACACACACACACACACACACACACACACACACACACACACACAATGTAATATTATTCATCCATGAGAAAGAAGGAAATCTTGCCATTTGCAACAATATGGTTGGACCTTGAGTAAGATAAATCAGACAGAGGAAGACAAATGCTGTATGTTCGCATGAATATGAGGAGTATAAAAAAACCTAACTCATGGAAACAGAGAGTAGAATAGTGGTTTCCAGAGGCTGGAGGTGATGGTGGTGGAACTGGGAAGATGTCGGTCAGAAGATGCAAACTTGCAGTTAAAAGATGGGTAAGTTTTTGCCTGGCCGGTGTGGCTTAGTGGTTGAGCATCCAGCTACGAACCAAGGAGTCATAGTTCCAGGAGGTCACGGTTCGATTCCGGTCAGGGGCACATGCCTGGATTGCCAGCTTGATCCCTAGTGGGGGCCGTGCAGGAGGCAGCCAATCAGTGATTTCTCTCTCATCATTGACGTTTCTATTTTTCTCTCCCTCTCCCTTCTTCTCTGAAATCTATAAAAATATTTTTTTAAAAAGATGGATACGTTTTGGAGATCCAGTGCACAGCACAGAATTATAGTGAACAATACTGTATTCTATACTGGAAAGTTGCTAAGAGGCTGGATCGGAAATGTTCTCATCACAAAAATGAAATGATAATCATGGGATGTGATGGAGGTGTTAGCTAATGCTATGGTGGCAATCATTAAATTATGTAAATGTATCTAACCAACACATGAACACCTTAAACTTACACAATGTTATATGTCAATCATATCTCAAAAAGGGGGGAATGTATGAAGAGAGAGAGAGAGAGAGAGAGAGAGAGAGAGAGGGAGAGAGAGAGAAGAAAGCTGTCTGACTCTATGAACCCTTTGCCATACTCTGGGCTGGTGGCAGGGTTGGCTTTGCCAAGGCCAAGGCAGAGTCCTGCTTCCTGCTGCAGCATCTCAGTGCCCTCAGGCCGCTGCTGGCATCTCTGAGCAGCCCCGGCTGCCCATGCACAATAGAGGAGACTTTGCAGAAGGGGGCCATGGGAGCTTGGTGGGACCAGAGCACAGAGTGTGGGAGGAGCTCAAAGCCCTGGTGGGCTGGGGAAGAAAGTGGGTGCGTGGGACACCTCTGGAGGACCACGGGGGTTGCCCTGTATCCTGTACAGTGGGAGCCACTGAAGGCTTTAGAGGAAGAAGCGGTGGGATTAGCCCTGGGCAGGGGGAGGCTGGGTGTAGTCTCTGTGTGACCAATGACTCAGGGCCTGCCCTAGCTGAGTTCCTAGTCTGCGTATGACTTCCCTCTGCACCCTGTCTGTCTGTCTGTCTCTCACTGAGTGCTGCTATCTCTCAGGGGCTGTAAACTCTCCGAGGTCACTGGCCCTTGGAGGACACATGTGTCTGTATTTAGTTTGCAGCATGGTGACTGCAGAGCCCATGACGGCCCTGGGCCCTGTCTGAGCCTCTCAGCACACGCACGGCAGACGTTACGGTGTCTCAGGATCAGGCACTTACAGGCACGCCCACTGGGCTCCGAGGCCTTGGTTCCCTCTCAGGGATGGCTTCGCCCTCTCTTCTCTCTGGGAAACTCCCACCGACCTACCCCTGTTTGGCCGGGACGTGTCTGCCATGAGCTAGTGCAGAGGAGGCATGGAGCCAGGGCTGGCACGGACAACCCCGCAGTCAGAGTGGGTGATCACAGTGGTGTTTGCAGGTGCTGGCCACTTTGCCAGGTGCCCTTGAGGCTGGGTGGGTGGGCAGTGGGAGTGATAGCTGCTCTGAGCAGGGCACTGCAGGAGGAGGTGCATATGGAGACGTAAATTTCCACCCCGAGGCTTCCTGCTCATTCTGGAACAGGGCCCAGGAACAGCCTGAGGCCCCTGAACTGAACTGTCATGAATGTCCTTACCCCCAGGGACAGGCTAGTTCAGGGCTGCTGGTTAGGGCTGGTGGCCTGCCATTCCCGGCTCTGGCTCCGGGCTTCCATGCAGCTGCGTGGGGAATCCCGTGGGTCCTGGCTGCTCAGTGTGTGGCCTGGGCTGCGGCTCTAGAACAACTGCTCTCTCTCCCTTTCCAGTGCGTCGGTCCAAGGCCGCTGACGAGGAGAGAAGGCGCCGAGCCCAGCGCGCCCGGGACGAGTACCGGCGCCTTTCGCTTCGTGCCATCCAGAAGGGTACCGTCGCTGGCCTCAGCTTCATGTTCCAAGAGCTTGGCCAGACCCATGAGCAGGAGGCCAGACTCTACCACCACTTTCCGGGCCCAGGGCCGCTGCTGCCCCTTGCGGTGCCTGTCAGGTGGGTCTGGTGGGGATGGGGGCTCGGCAAGGGGGGTGCTGGCGGGGACAGGGCCTTGGATGGGGGCATGAGGCACTGGGGGTCCAGTCCTGGCTCTGCCTCCAACTTGCTGCGAAATTTGGGGTCAGTCACTTCCTCTCTGTGGGCCTCAGTGTCCCAGTCTGTGGAATGGGGAAGGGGGGGAGAAGGGGTAGAGGTTGAAGATTTCTAGTAACTCTGGAGTTCTGAGAGTCTTAACTTTTTTGGGGACTCATATTCCTTTGAGAATCTAAAGGAAGCTGTGTACCCCTTCACTCCAAAATGTGCATATATAAATAGTCCCAACAGTTTGCATGTAATTTCAAGCTCTTAAGGGTCCACAGATCGCAGGTTAAGAACAGGTGCTATAAGACCTCAGCTGGAGTAAATGCTGCCCAGTGGCCTGGAACTCAGGGCTGGCTGCCTCTAACCACAGGAAGTGCTGGTGCATCCTGGGTTCTGGTAGCAGCTTTGCAGGTGAGCGTGGTGGGATGCAGGAGGCTCACACATGCTGGTGTCATGGGAGGGTTTGGCGAGGGCACTTAGGGGACTGCCCATGATTGCCAGGACCGAGGGGGAAGTGGCTGCCTGGAGCATTCCACCTTCTGCCCGTGCCCATCAGTCCCAGATTTATGCCCCCATCACTGCAGAGCCACTACCTCCTCCAGTGAGGGCACTGAAGCTGGGCGTAAGTGCCTGCACCTCCCTGAGCCACAGCTCACCTGCAGGGAGTCCATCCCCCAGGTGATGGATGGCTCCTGAACCACAGCTCACCTGCAGAGTCCACTCCCTCAGGTGATGGGCCACTGTCTGAACCACAGCTCACCTGCAGAGAGTCCACTCCCCCAGGTGATGGGCTGCTGTCTGAACCACAGCTCACCTGCAGAGAGTCCACTCCCCCAGGTGATGGGCCGCTGTCTGAGCCACAGCTCACCTGCAGAGAGTCCATTCCCCCACGTGATGGTGAGTCCACTCCCCCAGGTGATGGATAGCTGTCTGAACCACAGCTCACCTGCAGAGTCCACTCCCCCAGGTGATGGGCCGCTGTCTGAGCCACAGCTCATCTGCAGGGAGTCCACTCCCCCACGTGATGGATGGCTGTCTGAACCACAGCTCACCTGCAGGGAGTCCACTCCCCCACGTGATGGATGGCTGTTTGAACCACAGCTCACCTGCAGAGTCCACTCCCCCAGGTGATGGATGGCTGTCTGAACCACAGCTCACCTGCAGAGAGTCCACTCCCCCAGGTGGTAGACGGCTGTCTGAGTTTTGCTTTAACTGGGATTTAGGATTGCTCATTCCCCGTGTCTCCCTCTCCCTGAAGGCTAGGGAGAGCTGACCATGTCTGAATTTCTTCCTTCCTATCCTCCTCCCCTTTTCCCTTCCTTGTCACTTACGTGATTCACAAACCAGGAAGTTAAAAAAGACACATGGAGAAAAGACCGACTCCATCCTGTCCTCTTCTATTCAGTGCCCCCTCCCCCAAGGGAACTGCTGTTCTCAGTGTAAGTGTCTGCCATTTCCTTTTGCAACTTCCAACATGAGAAGTCATATTCTCTCTCTCTCTTTGCATAAAACTTTGCATGTTCTACACAGGGTTCTGCATTATGGGTTTTTTCCCCATTTATATTTTGGGGAACATGTCAGTTCTTAACTATTTAATTTTATTTAGTTTTCTTTTTATAGTATAGTACAGTATTCTATTGCAAGGATGTGCTATAATTTACTTGTAAAAAATCTACTAAGGAAATTGGAGTTGTTTGAAATCTTTGGTTGTTACCAACTGTGCCCTAATGGATACATAACCTTGTAGACATTAATTTTATACACATACCACCATTATCTACAAGAGCGGCTCCTCAGAGTGGGAGCATGGGTTAGGGCCTGTGTGTACTCACAGAGGTGAGAGTTACCGAGCCTGCTCCTCACAGGGGGGTGCCAGTGAACCCATCACCCTGCAGCCTCGCCACAGTGCTGTGAAGCTCCTGCTCCATGTGGGGAATGATGCTCACTGAAAGCTGGGAATTGATTTCCCTTCATGACGAGGTCAAGTATTTTGTCTCTGTTTAAGGACCACTGGTGTTTCCATATCTGACTCATCTTTCCTCCACCTAGGTTTTCTTGTGTTGGTATTTTTTCCTCATCCCCCATTTCTAAGAACTCTTTAAGTGTTAGGGAAGAGGATCCTTTTGTTTGTGATAAACACTTTTTCCTCTTTGCCATTTGTCCTTTGCCTTTTGCTATGAAGTTTTCTGTCGTGCGGGAATTGTTGATTTTTCTGATGAAGTTTTCTGTCAGGCAGGAATTCTTGACTTTTACCAGGTCAGGTTGTCTTTCATGTTTCCTGGCTTTGGAGACATAGCTACAAAAGCCTTCTTGGCATTTTCCCAGGAAAAGGATAATGTGTCATTTTAAAGGAAACGGATGATTTGTCCTGCAGGCCCACGTGATGGAGCTGCATGGGCCGTGGCGCAGCCGGCTCCAGGCTGGCTGCCATTGCTCTCAGTAGGGGAGCATCGGCTGCCGTCAAGGGGGGCCAGGGGCCATGCAGATGGGGCGGCAGACCCAGTGCCCCCAGAGGCCCTGCGTCAGCTTCCTGCTGTGGCTGCCCCAGGGGCCCAGTGCCCTGACCGCACTGCGCTCAGCGCTGCCGCTTGGGCACACCGGTCTGGCTGTGCCGAGGGCAGACACGCTGTAGCTGGTTCAGGAGTCAGGCTTCTGGCCAGGTGACTTCCCACAGCACCATCCCAGCCATCCCTGACCTGGCGAGTCTGCTCAGAACAGAGGGACTGGAGGGAACTCGTCTCTCTTGCTCTTATTTATAGCTTCCTTTTGCCTCCAAGGAACATGAGTGCTAGGAACCAGACACGTTTTTCCCTGGAGCAGTTATTTATTGGGGAACACGAGTGTGAAGGAAGAGGCTGGGGCAGGGCTGCCGCGTGCTGCGTAATAAAGAGGCAGGGCCTCTGGGTTACTGGGAGGGGAACCCCAAAGTGTGGGTCAGCAGGAGAGAGCTGGTAGCGGGGGTGCAGAATTGCCCAGGGAGGCAGCGGGGGAAGGAGGGTGTTTGGGGAACAAACTCCACGGCTGGCGGCGGTAAGCCGTGCGATGGAACCTCACCCGCTGGCTTCCTTGTGACCTTTCCTCACGTCACACTGTTCGCTGCTGCGTATGTGTGTAAGTGGATTCATTTGAGGGCAAGTGAACATATGACCTCATCCTGGGGTCTGCAAGGAAGTGCTGAACGCAGCATCTAAGTGTTAGTGCAGGACACGTGAGGCGACAGCTCGTTTTATAAGAAACGATGATGACAGTGGTGAAGTCTAAATGCCAGCACTATCGGTGGGTGGCAGTGACAGAGTAAGAATTTCCCAGGTTGCTCAAGCCGGGCCAGAGGCTGCTCGTCAGACGCTGTGCTGTCACGTAGATATCACACAGACCGGTGCATGTGGCCTTGCTACCTAGTCATTCAGCAGGTAGCTGGCGTGTGCCTGTTACGTGCCCTGTTTCGTCCAACTCTAACTGTGCTTCCGGTCGGTTTAGCTCCAATGTAACAGGGCTGTTTCGGCGGCCCAGCCTCCATACGCATTCAAGAACCACAGTTCAGACACAAACACATTAAAATCTTGGCTGGATTGTGAGAAAATATAAAAAATATGTAACTCGTGACTCATAAATTTTTCAAGTGCCTCTCTTCATCGCACGCTCACTATCTTCAGCCCCTCCCCAGATCCCCTTCAAATCTATCAAGTCAGCCAGCACAGTGCCCTGTCCCCCGTCCTCTGTCCCCCAACTTTCCTCTGTCCTATCCTTTTCGTTTCTTGGTGGTGAATCTCAGCCACAGCCACAGCCACAGCCACAGCCAATTGGGGTTCTCGGTTTCTCTCTGTTCACTGTCCTGATTCTGCCACCTGGAAGCAGGGAGCAGCTGGCGAAGGCAGGTGTCCCCTGAGAAGGCTGGGGAGGGGCCACGCTGAGGGACAGACGGGAATTCTCTTTAGTGGGGTGTGGGTGGGGGACAGAGGACACTCACATGTTTATCATTTTGCTCCCGTTACATTAGGGTCCTTCTTCTTGGACGCTCACGCTCACACCTGGCCATCCTTGAGGGAAAATGTGCCTTTTCTTTCCCCCAGACACCCTCGCCAGTCCTCTTTCCCACTCCCACCTGTGTGACTCTTTTCAAAGCAAGTGATCAGAGTGTTCTTTGGGGGACAAGAATCACAGCTGGTACATTAGAATCTGCAAAGTGTCTTCAAGTACCTGGCTCATTGCATCCTCTCCGCAGGCGTGAGTGTGGGCACCGTGCTTATTCATCCGCACAGTGGCCTCCCTCCCTCCGACCCCCCCTTCTGACTCTCCCACACTCCCTCTCTCTTCTCTGCAGGACTTGGGAGCGCCCTCTGCGTCCTGTCTCCAGAGAAATCATAGTCCGCTGGTTCAAGGAGGAGCAGCTGCCTCGCCAAGCTGGCTTCGAGAGGAACACCAAAGCCATCGCCCCCTGGTTCCATGGTAGGACAGCGCTGGGTCCCCGCAGACACCTCCCACAGGCCCACCTCTCTCCGAGACTGGAAAGGAGGTCGGGAAGGGCTGTTGCAATCAGGGGAGTAAAGGACTCGCTCTCCCACAAAGATGGGCCTGTCTCCCAGGGGTAAGGTCAGCTCTCCTGGCCCCCTTGGGTGAGAGAGTGGACCGAGGTCCCCTTTCTGTCATTTACCTGCACATGGAGTTCGCTCAGCTCAAGGCACACGTTCTGATTTCCCCGGGGCATGTGCTGAAATACAGTGACCTTCCTCCGGGCCTTAGGACTCCAAGGCCGATCTCTGAGCAGGAGCCCGGAGGCTGAGGCACCTGGGCACTGAATATGCATCCCTCTTGATGCTGGGAAGGGTGAACACGACTCTTGCCCACTGCTCTCACCTCATACCCTCCTTGGCCACCAAGGCTCCTCAGAGGCACCCTCTCTACACTCACAAGACAGTGAGCTCTCAGTGGACCATGAGCTCCCGGTGGGCCGGGTCCACATCTTGTTGCCTGAGCCTGCATCCCTAGACCTGGCTGGGGCCTGGTGCACAGCAGCCTCCAAGCAAATGCTTGCTGAGTAAATGACAGAATGGCTGCACGAGGAGGTCAGAGTTATCCAAACATAGAACCTGAGAGCTGGGAGGCTCCTGGAAGTATTTTGTTGCTTCATACAGATCAGAAGACAGGCCCAGAGAGGGGAAGATGTTTTTCTAAGGTCACAAAGAAACTTGTAAAGTCAAATTCATGGCTCATGACCCAGTCCAGTGAGCTGAACATGTAGGCAGGATTCGAACAGGGAAACAGGATTGTGATGCTAGTGGAGGCCTGCTACAGGGAAATAGGAAGGGCCACTGGCCATAATCCCCTCTGTATCAGTCAGTGATTGCTGTGTAACAAATTACCTCCAAACTCAGTAGCTGAAAATAAATAAGCATTCATTACTTATGAGTTTCTGATTCAAATAGGCAGTTCTTCTGAGATGGGCCAGCCTCAGATGATATGAGCTGAACTTGCTCATATGTCACCAGACAGCTGTCAGGTCAACCAGGGCTTGCTTATCCAGGGTAGACTCTGCTGACACAGCTCTTCTCTGCTCCATGTGGTCTCTCACTTTCCAGCAGCCCGGCCAGGCTGTCAGGTTCTCTGGATAAGTTGCATCTTGGCCTTGCTCCCTGAGTCTCCCTCCCTCATCAGTGTTGAGCCCAGGTTTGCCTGAGGACTCCCCTGGTCAGGATTGATCTCTCTTGCTATAATTAGCATCTGTCTGACCTTTATCTGCCTCTATTACCCTTCTGCCGGCCTCCTGGGAGCTTGACTGGCCTCCACATTGCTCTGTATTTCCCCTGCATTTGTCTTGATTCCTGGCCAGCTTCCAGGTGTCCTCCATCCCATCCAGATGGAGAGAGGAACCCATTGTCATGTTAGGCACTGGAGACTCTGGGGTCTTGAGGGCTGTTAGGGAAGCCCTCATGGGCAAGTTCTGGACATGGCTCTAGCTCCAGGAAAGGCAGCTGGAGTGATTAGAAGGAACCATGCAGGGGTGAGCAAGGCCATGTGCGCCTTCATTCCCACCTCCAGGAGCCTGTAGAGTTTGTGAACTATGAAGTGCAGACAGTAGGCCCACTCTGCAGATGGGATGACTGAGACGTAGCACTGATAAGGGATTGCCCAAGGACATGAAGGTCACAGAGCAGCGGCAGGCTGCAAGAGTGTCCTCACTGGTCTGTCGCTTTCATTCTGGCCCGTGTACAAGTCAGTCTCCACACAGCATCCTGAGACTCTTTTAACCAGAAACCAGGTCCTGGCACTCCCTGCTCATTACCCCCCGCTTCCCTCCACACCTGCAATGAACTTCCAACTCCATGCTGGGGCCCACGAGGTCCCAATGACCGGTCTGCTGCTGGCCTCATGCCATAATTCGTTCCTTGCTTTTGAAGCTCTGGCTTTTTCCTGTTCCTCAAACAAGCCATTTTCTTTCCCACCTCAAACCCTTTGCACTTGCTGTTTCCCTACCTTTTTGCATGCCTAACACATTCCCATTGTTCATCTGAAATATCCCCTCCTCAGAGAGGCCTTTCCTGAACCCCTTACCCAAAGCAGCCTTCGCTAATTTCTCTCAATTCATTGTATTTATTTAATATTATTCACCCACTGGTATTTATCTCTTTATTTGCTTGACGTCAGTTCTCCTACTAATTGTAAGCCTGTGAAACTCAGGCCATTGTCCATCTTCTCTAAAGCCTGCCATAGGAAGTGTCCATGAGGATGGGTGAAGGCAGAAATGAAGGGCCAGAGTTGGGATGAGACTCCTGTCTTTCAGATTCCAAAGAACAGCCCTTGCTTCTCTGCACTGGACCCTGGTGGGTGTGTGAGTCCCCTCAGGGCTCTGGGGAGTATATGGGAAGCCTGTAAGAGGTTAGGCTAGCCTTCCTAGGTGGCATGTGCTCACTGGGGCCAGAGCCCTACCCATGCGTTAGCATCTCTGTATTCAACCTTCACCTCTGCTTTTCTTTTTAAATTTTATTTATTTATTTATTTATAGAATTAAATTTATTGGGGCCTAATAAGTGGCAATGGAAGATTTCACCTCTGCTTTTCATCTGCCCCTAAACAAGGGCAAGAAAAACTCACTGTCTTTCTCTGTTGCACTATTGTTGAGCTCTCCAAGTCAATTCATGGCGTCCCCATGTGTCAGTCAGGTTCTGCATGGTTCTGCCACAGTAACAAATAATCCCAAAGTCTCAGTGACTTCCACCAACCCAGAGGTTTCTTACCCATGTCACACACCCATGCACTTGTGGAGTTTGATATGGGCCTCAGACTGAAGGAACTGCCTCTGTTGGAAACGCTAATGGTCCGTTGGAAACTCAAATGATCTATTGGAAACTTGAATGGTCTGTTGGAAACTCGAATGGTCTATTGGAAAGTCTAGTGGTCTCGTGACAAAGGGAAAAGAGAGGCAAACCTCATGGCGGCTCCCAAGGCTTCTGCCTGGAACTGACATGTGCCATTGCTCCCAGGTTCCTTTGGCCAGAGCCAGCCTGGCACCTGTGGTGTGGGAGTAGAGTCTATTACATCCACCACCCGCTTTTAGACCCCTTCTTACTCCCTGACCTCCACACCTCCCAGGAAATGGAGTGTTTCTTTATGCTCAGAAAGTAGACGGTCCACTTTCCTAAGTGACTTAGCCACACTTCCCTGGAGCTGGTCCCGGATTCACTGCCTCTCACCTCTGTCCCATGACGTGTCCCTGTAGCCCTCAGAGCTCCTGCTTGAACCACACGTTCTTATACTCTTGAAAGCACAGCACTAGCATCTTAGGCACCTGTGTAGCGCAACTAAAAGTTCTGTGGGGTGGGGGCTGGCAGGACACAGGTTGCTCTGAGGCTTGAGGCAGACCATGGAGAAGGAAAGACAGAGGTGCTCACATTTATCTTTAGCTTTTTCTTCTTATCCTCACCCGCGGACATGCTTTAATTGATTTTTAGAGAGAGAAACATCATTGTGAGAGAGAAACATTAATTGCTGCCTCCCATAAGCAACCTGACTGGGGATCAAACCCACAACCTTTCAGTGTATGGAATGATGCACCAACCAACTGAGCCACCGGCCAGGGCTGTAGCTTTATTTTCTATCCTGATTTAAAAAAAAAAATACAGCTCCAAAAAAAGCCCCAACAAGTTTTATATTGTCCCAGACCAAACAGACCATGATTTCAGCTTTGCAATTTATGTAAGTGATTTCATGTTCTCTTGGCAGCTCCACCATAAAGCGTGCAGGCTAGTTGCTAATATGTGGACTGGAGCTATTTAGTTTTCATTGCTCTGTGACAGGACGAAAGAGAAAGGCTCACATATGGAGGGCGGCCAACTCTCTCTGCTTGGCAAGGACTAAGTCATCCTCTACGATGATATTCCTTCCTCAGTTTAGTGTCAACATGTCCTATATTTTATGGCTTGATGGCACTAGTAAGCAGTAGTTATTTTTATATGTTACCTTTGCTCAGAAGCAAAAAGGTAGCAGCTTCATGTTGGATTCCCAGCTCTTTAGAGTAACTTCATTCAGACCTAACATTCCAGAGTCTGGAACCACTGGTTCGGTCCGACTTCTTTCCCAGTGTGGGAATTCCCTGATAGCATTCGGTTAGGACTCTTGTACTGATCCTTCCGGAGAGGAAGCCACCAGCCGGCTGTTGGGGAGTCTCTGCTGGAGGTTGGCTGGGCCTCTTGGCTGGTAGCTCCGCTCCACGCATCTCTCGTGCGCCTCCCGGGACCAGGCGCTGCCAGGCGTGCTCTCCTCAGGGGCCAGAGGGCAAGTGGCTGCGGGCTAGACTCGCGCAGCCTAGTCTTCGAATCAGCACATGGTCTCTTTCACCTCATGCCATTGTCACAGTATGTCACAGAGTTGAGGGGTGGGAAAATACATCCTGCTCCTTTCGTGTGAGGAACTGCAAAACCCTATGGCAAAGGGTGTGAAGCCAGAGAGGGGAGGAGAATTTGAACCAATAATGCACTCTGTCACAGTCTTAATATCAATGCTTCCCACCCGCCCCCCGTGCCTCCCTCCCTCCACCCCGGGTAAACCATGCCTGCTTATTTTAGCTGGGTTTCAGATGCAGGGGACTTCTATTTCCTTCCCGGCCCTCTCACCCAGTTGGATGTGCTGTGGTGCAATGCAAAGAGCAGTGTGGACCAGGAGCTGCCGCTATGGGCCCACTCTAGAATCGAGCAGCTCTGTGACCTTGGTTGTGTCCTCTAAGTTCTCATCTGTGAAACTGAGATGATAGCATGGACTTCACAGGGTCCTTGTGAAGATCAAGTCCACAAACGTGGTTTGCCCCCCTTCATGAGCGATGTCAGTGTGAGAGCTGACCTCCCCTGGCATCTGAGGTCAACTGCCAGGATTGGGGTCACTCCTTTGGGGAGCAGAGCTTAGGGAAATGGGCGGGGATCTAGCTTCCCGCTGCTACCTCAGGGTTCTTGGTAGTT